CACCTTGTTGTTACATACTTCTTCGGACGTACACCACCGCCACTCTGGGTCACGGACGTGTGTGCAACCACCAATTATCCTCTTCCTCCGTCGCGGGAGGCCGTGGACAATTAGCGAAATCAGGTATTTACCGCACCCCGCTTCGTCCTCTCCGCCGCCGCCACAGCCGCCTCGATTTCACATAATCAGTTTTCGTTAAAACCCGACGACAACATTCCATATTTAGTCAAGCATTCCGGAGTTTAGTTTGCCTCGTTAATTGGGAATCGCATTTCGAAACGCGCCGCAACCGCATAAAACCTCACCATTATTTACATACATTACCGTTTTCACAGTTTATACACCTCCTATATTTTATTTTCCTTAAAATTTCCATCTAAACTAATACTTTTCAATTAGATTTAAAGCGTTGCTATGGTTTCTAGTATCATTTTATAGACTCTGAAACAGTTGGTAACGATTGTAAAACAGTCGGTAAGAAGTGTAAAACAGTTGCTAACTACTCTAAAACAATTGATTAATATTATAAAACAATTGGTAAGAACTCTGATACAGTGTGTTTTTTAAGACTATTCAGTTTTCAAAGTTGTCCCCAAAATGACAATTCAAGATGAATTTATCATTGTCGTTCGGTTTGGCTAGGATCGTACAGATTCCAAAATCGAAATGGAATTGCGATGTAAATCATGAACAACCACCAACTGTTGCCATTTTTTGAGGTTGGAGGAATATTTTTCTGGAAGATTTCCAAAGAAATAAAGAAACGATTGTCTCGCGATTACGAGCCTCATCGGATCGCGGCGGCGGCGGCTAATGGACTTCGAAAACGTACCAAAAGTGAGTGAGTCTCTTGGGACGATTCCAAACGCGCAATGAAAACGCTCGTATCTTTCAATTTGCCGAAAGTATTATCATAATTCTCACAAATAATAGCAGTCCAACAAAAATATGTTCTTCGTAAAAGCTCATAAATATTATCCATTACGATTTTTCATTTCATTGTAGT